TTAGGGAGTTAATCTAAGGACGAATATGACAATTTTGTGACATGTGAAGAAAAAGTAAACCTGACATTTCTAGATGTGTTTTAGAATTTATATGTTTGTAAATGTCAGAATGAAAGATGAAAATGGTTTATCTTAACCCGTAACTGCTGCTAAGCTATTATAGGTACGCTTATACTGCTAGCTGATCAAATTGATCGGCACGCTTAAATCGTATTTTCGTAAGTATAAAAGAGAATTATAAAATACGAATTACAATTTTGTTTAATCTTGAATTCGTGGTGCAATTGAGAAGATCCTAAGCGGAAAACAAGGAAAACGTGTAGAGTAAAAATGTTTCATACAAAGGATTTGTTTTAAAGAAAATTGAACATAAAAGTTCAAGTGATGCGTGTTCTTATAGATACGGCTGACTAATGAGTCTATCTACTACTTACCATTTCCACTTGGCATAAAAATCGGAGATATTACGATGGTACTTATTTGCCACCGGTTCTATTGCTTTGTACCTTATAAATTAACACCAAAATATTATGGAAGGAAGACAGTACAAACTAATACAACGGTACAAAATAATATTTTTCTGATTCAATACGAGGAATATAAGCGTTTCACTACCTGCAAATTCCCTTACTCAACTATATTTCTCTATTAAGATGAAGACTAAATAATTCAAAATTTAAAACGTTTACAATTTTTCCACCATGTCGTACACAGTAAAATTACCAATTACTCATCGCAATTTTCAAACCCTGAGCACTTAACGTGTCCATATTACCTTCTCTACTCGCAACATTACAAAAATCGTACCAATTTTCAACTTTTCTTAAAACAATTTCCATTATTAAAAAAAGAAACTTCGTCGTCGGTTACGTGACCTATTTCATTTACTCGATCCAACTTCGTTTCCATTTCACTATAACAGTTTCGACACTTCCGACCGATTCGTTGAATTTCTCCAATCATCTCCCGGTAATTCGACTCCTCGTGTTTGATCTCGTACGAGATGTGTTTCGTTTCATTCTAACCACGGCGTAATTATTAAGCCAATCCACCAGGCGAAATTTACTTTTCGCCCGCATAAACGAAATTACTTTATCGAACGGGAACGAATGGCAGCCATCGGTGGCGGCGGTACGGTCCACCGCAGCGGCGACGTGCGTTTCGCGAGCGGTGTAGGAGGCAGAGCAACGGACTCGAAACGATCCCGGCCACGGCGTCGGGGCTGATGTTCCTTCAAGAGCACTTGTCCGGTCGGGTGAATTATCGACTTCGCTACTTCGACCCCGATCCATCGGATCGTCCTACATGCTCGGGAACCTTGGGTATTTCACGCGCTCCCTCTCCCTTTCATGTGGTCTGCGAGTGATCTGTTCGGGAGATCTGAAAATCTTCTGGTATTTTCGTCCATGGATATTCACTGAAAATTGACTGGTGTACAGTGGAATGTCTGACAGTCCTGCAATGGAGGAAGCTTAATTATTTTTGGCCCGTGGCAAAATTTTCTATCTATATGTACATTGGAATATTAACGTTTTTATCGTATTTTTGTCTTCTGTCTGAAATTTTATCTTGTAATATTTTTGTCCTTGTAGTTTTTTTCAATTAAATTTCTTAACGTTGCTTTAACGCCAAAAGTCGTTAGCAATGCGGTGCAGTTTAACTTATTTCCTAAATATTAATTACAAACTGTGTGTATACATATAAATATGTTAAGTGGTACTTGTAAATACTATCACAGCTGATTGTTATACAATGTATATCCTGTTATGGGTGATTGTTTGTAATTAGTAATTTATAGCTTCTGGTACAGTTTTGATAACATTAGATACTGGACCAATAAATGACTTAACAAGAAAAAAGTATATAGCGTATCTTTCAAGAAACTTAATTTCGCTCTATGGATTTCCTACAAAATGCAAAGAATTTAATGGTAACACATAAACTTTCTCGTTCTATCAAACAATTTTATATGTAAAAACACATGAATTTATCACAAATACACTATACTTGGCGTTTCTGATGCCTAGTGGTTTACATTAAAATTGTAATTGGAAAAACGAAATGGAGAAAAATAGATTCATGAACGTGATGCCTAGAAGCACGTATGTAATGCGATAATAATCATCAACAAGGCAGCACTGTTTATTGGCATAGAATATAGTAACTACAAGTCAAAATACCACGAAATATACATTTTTATGAATTCATTTATATCTATTACTCCGAATTAACCTTTGCATTATTTAAAAAACTGATATTCATTCTCAACATCTACTATAATTTGGCAAAACAAATGACGTCACTTTTCAATAACGTTTTTGTCTGTTTAAGCATTAAATTTTCTTATCACGTTTAAAAGATTCTTCGTTTTATCGTATTTATCAAATCGTTCTGTTTAAGAAAATCAGTTAACAATAAGACATTTAATGTACATATTATCGCCATACAAAATCTGTTGGTGTCGATTTCAACCGCTAACAGAAGCTCATCTGCTTTCTTTTTCATGTTTCCCCTCCTCGGGCTACGTATTCTGATTGGCCGTTCGGACAATTACTGGTGGTGGCAATGGCGATGGTCACAATGACGAAAACCTAACAATCCGCATGGCACCAACGACACGCTGATTAACTCTGGTGATGGTGGCCACGATAACGCGACTATGTGTCGTGGCGATGGTGACCGCAATGCCTGGTACACCGTGGTGACGGTGACAACAATGACACGTTAATAAATCACGGTGATGGTAACCACGCCTGGCGTGCAAACAAACCACGCTCAATGGCGACCGAATTGGTACACTAACATTTTGTTCTGTACCCTGTTGGGTCAATAACTTGATTGCGCACACGGTGCACATTTGAACGCTTACAATTGCATTACACACGCTGTACGCTAACATTTTTCCACTGTTTCATCGTTTCTTCCTATGTGGTTATACGGTCTTTTCATTCAACTGTGCTATAAAATATTGCTTCTTCATTTTTTCTTCTTTTTCTGACATCTTTAATAATAATCGATACGTAATATTGCATTTCATTTATTCTATATTAATTGCTCTTACACATTGCAATTGGATGCTTTGGTTATCATTTGGTAAACTTAATCATTGTTTGACATTCTGTACTACTGTTATATATTTCAAATTGTTTCACATAATTGCTTTCAAACGACACCTTCATATAATCAATTATTCACTCGATGTCTCTGTTCTCTTAACTTTCAATTTCACAATTTTCACCGTCTACTTCTGCCACTTGTTCCAAATCGCTTTCTTGTATTCATAATTTCTAAACATTTATTTTACACAATCCGCTTCATTGACACTAAAAATCATCACCCACTATCCCATATCTTCTACTTCAAATTCTATCACTTCAACCTGCATTTTCATTCCAATCACTTCTAAATTATTCCCAAAAACAATATATTCCTATCCATTTCCAACGTCCAATACTTTCCATTCATATTTCAAAATCTCAATTCCCATAATCCGATAATCTCATTAACGTCTGAAAATCTCCATTCCAAAATTCCGATATTTTCATTACCTTTCGAAAATTTCAATTCCCAAAATTCGAAATTTGTGTTACTTTTAAAAATGTTAATTCCCAAATTTTTCTTCCAAATATTAATCTCTGCAAACCTGAATTCCCGAAAATTCGATATTACCATTAATTTCGGAAAATCTCAACTCCCAAAATCTCCGCGGTAACCAACGGAAATCAAAAATCGATGTCCGCGCAATTCATTGTTGCTCGTTCCTGTGACGAACGACACGCCCGGTACACCGCCGTTGCGCCGCGAAATCGCCGGCGATTTACAATCGTCGTTTTCGTTCTTACCGTCGGCGACCGTCATTCCCGTGGATTTCCAACGGAACGCTGGGAACGTCTGTGGTTCCGCGTGCAAACTCGCCACCCCGAATCCCGCAACTGCTCGGCCGCCGTTTGCTTCCGCGTCCCTCCCCTGTCCTTCCCCTCCCCCTGGTCGTGGCCTTGTATTTCGCGTGTAAACGAAACGACACCGCTTCCGCGGGTGTGTCATCGATACATCGCCGCTCGAACGATCCTCGATTGATCCACCCGTTAATTAACGCGAATCCCTCGGAACTGATCACCATTGCGGTGGCACCGTTACGGTCCATCGATCGATCCTCCGCGTCCCGTTCGCCCTTCCTTCCGGCCGTCACTCTGCACTCGCGCCCCACCCCCTCGCCACCCTTTTTCGACGTCTCTTTCATACGCGCTTCTTTCTCCCCACTTCTATTGGAACCCAATCCACCACCGTCACTTTTGTAACGCTCGTGTGTTTGTCAACGTGACGCTCGTCGACGCGTTTGATGTTGCTTCCGTGACCGGTGCATCGAAAAAAAAAAATTATTCTAAATATTATTGCCATATGTTAATGGTACTTTTTTTTTTGACATTCCCGGACGATTCGTGGATCAAATTTTGGATGTGTGTCTTAATTTGATATGAAAATTTATATGGCTTCTTTGCTATTGGTGATTTTGATCGTGATTCTTGTTATTTCTTCGGAATATCATAAATATTAACGACTTCTTTCATTTCTCGTGTGTTAATTTCGAATACGCTTTTTAAACACGTCTTATTTAATTTTGTTCGTGTGTTATTGAATTTCATATTCTACAATGTCTAATTTCTTTCGACTTTGATAATTTCTTCACCTTTTACTCTCTGTATTCTCGATTATTTTTCCTCCTTTTATCTAAACATAACCCCCTGTCCTGAAACACATTATAAATAAATTTTGCTGATTTCTCTTGTTATTTATCTATTCCCATTGTTTTAATATGCTGTGTAATTATTAATGTTGCTTCTCATTAACAATTGCCACATTCCATCATGTACCAATTACACTTCAAAATGATATTACCACATTGTCTGTACTTTTGGTTGTACGATTTTTCCAACGATTTGCATTTTGTATTTCATAACGATATTCGATACCGATTCGTGATCACGGGATTAAAACGATAGCCTTGTTATCAGGCACCTTGAAGACCTATCAGCGCGCAGCCTGTGACGAGGAGTTGATGACGCTAAAGTGTCCACCTGGTACAACCATCTCCGTCACCATCGCCCAATATGGGAGAGCTGGGGCGAATGGCACCGGCAGGTGTAGCTCTCACGAGCCGTCGTCGCTTGCTGGGGACAAACTGAATGACACTTGCATCTGGCCTCCGGGTCTACAGGTACGTGTCAACAAAGCATCTTTCTACAATATGTATCTGGACCCCAGAGTGTATTAAGTCGCACTTTTTGAACTTTAGAGGAGAGCAGATCAAAGGTGCAAAAACATTTCGAGAAAAGATGGCAAAGTTTAAACGGATGAAAATAAGCCTTTAAACGGAATGAGCCGGGAACATTTTCATTTTTTTCTTTATGAACGTACAGGTGAGAGAGAGCAACAATGTAACTATTCTGCACATAGAATCGTTATCTCGCAGTAGTAACGATTCTATAAAATAGTTTGAAATGGTTTATGAAGGATAATGGAGAATTGAAAATCGTAACTTTCACATTCCTCTCCAGTTTCAAGTTCGATCAAGTAAAATCTTTAAAATTAGTAAAAAAATTCTTCCTATGTCTATTCTAAGGAACAAACTGCATAAATATAAATCATATATAATTCCAAATATTTCTTTCTACTAGAACATACATTAACTTTGATAGAAAATTCATATTGGGAATATCAGGTGTTTCATTCCGTGACTTCAATTCCCTTCAAATTCAAAAGCTATCATAAATGTTTCATACGCCCCTCCTCGATCTAAACGAAGCTCACCCAGGCAGTAACTTTCAAAATGCCATCGTAAAACATTGTACACACAATCATCCGATTTCGCTTCGTGCACAACTCTCGGTGAGAAGTTTCCGCATCGACGTTTCAACCCCCGAATGTTTATCCGCCATCTTATATTTATTGGCTTTTCGCGAAACCCTGATTTCTAATCCAGAAAAAAGGGCGCCGGGCGATTGCCTTAGCACCACGGCCTCATTCTCGAAGGAGGTAGTGAGCTGGAAGGAATCGTAAACCGGATCCACACCGCTAGGTTAACCCTTGTACGGTTCAACCCTCGTAACCTCTGCTTAGGTTTGTAAGCTCTCGCTGCCGGTACGTCCCGAAAACGATTTCGAGCAAGACCCTTTCAGCGCCGGGATTTCGTATCGGACTTTAGTGTTTTGTGCACGTTTCTAGTCGATGACCTTCCTCATTCTTCCTGCCTCTTTTTATTTGCAAACTGGGCGCGAACTTCGAAATTCCTTAACACGCTGGTCAATCATCGAGAGTCACAATGTACGTGAAGGTAGTATTTAGTTGAGGATTTTATTAGGATGAATTTATAGGCTTTGTACACTATGGTATAGGTTCTGTAAAGACAAAATAGCAAGAACTGTAAGAACAAATTTGGCTTCCAATAAAGAAAAAGTGACGTAGGATAAGGGCTTTCCACCACTTGGTAAATTTATTTCAAGTACTGAAATAAATGTTAAAATGCATGGTAATTTGGCATAAATTTCAGAAATTTCCAAATTCAAATGGTAGAAGGCCTTTTCACTGTGCCATTTTTTTCCCTAGTGGAAGCAGAGTTTGCTCGTGGGTGTACATGGGTGGATCACCCAACAACTGTAATTGCATACACCTTCGGTCTAACATGTATGTATACCTTGGTAAATTTACTTCAAGTACTCAAATAAATGTTAAACTGAATGTTAATCTCTCATAAATATCAGTAACTTCCGAAACCAAGTGATCGAAGGCCTTTCCTCCACGCCATTTTTTCCCCTAGTGGAAGCAACATTTGCTTGTGAACGTACGTACAGTTTGAATAGAAGCCAACATGGAACTGCAGATAGTCCGAAATTTTTGGAACCTCTTTCCTCTCAAACGTACAGTTGTAACATAACCAAGAAATCCTAATCTACATCACGAATCTACTGCCCTCCCCTCAGATTACTCGGTTGCGGCGCACACGAGCCCCGTTCTCGAGACGCGTTTCTTCCCTCGAACAAGTTTGCACGCTAGACAGAACACTGGAGTGTCGTTTTCAGGTCAGCTGCCATCATCTCTCGATGGCGGGTGTTTAAATGGGCGGCGATCTCCTACCGTTCTCCTCATCCGTCTGCTCGTTCAGTTTTCCCCGTGTTTTTCGTCTCGCCAGACGGGACTCTCAATTGCCACTGAATTCCAACCGAAAAAAAGCAACATTTCCCGCTCTCACGGCTCTCGAGACTCTTCCCCAGGGGGTCTCGGTTCTCCTTCCGCGTTCCGTTTTCGCGGTTGAAATAAAACGAGAATCGCGATTGCTCACCGCGTTTCCAGTCATTTCGCCTGCCAGCCGACTCGTGAATCCCGTCTAACCGGGCTTTGAGAAGAATATTTTTTTTATTTTCACCATGCCGCTCGACCCTCTTTACACCATCGAGATGCACGGTTCTGATCCACTCGGACAAGTTTAACATTTCGACTCTATTCGCTGGAGTGCAGGATTCCTCCAGTTGATTTTAATGGTATTTTCTGTGCCTCGTTGGTTTGATTTACGGAACAATTAGGAACAAGAAATAGGTTTCTAGGTTTCATAGATGCTTCCACAATCGTGTTTGGATGTTTTGGATGTTTCAATTGCAACGAAGTCTATACTTGTGTAACTGTAAGTGCTGCAATTTGCACTGGTTGGCTGCAGCTCGATTCTCATGGAAAGAAATATATTTATGGGAAGGAAATTTCACGAGCATAAATACCAGTTTATACGTTCAAATAGTTTGCGTAAACCGACTTGTGCATTTACAGTTGCACAAAGAAATTATGGCGTCGAAACGGTAGCTTACAAAGTCAAATAATTTGCGTCAACTGACTTGTGCATTGACATTTCCGCAAGTAAGTCGTTGCATTTAAATGGAAGCTAACGTCCCTGGCAAATAATTACCCCGACATTCCTTATTATTTTATTTGTAATAACTAATTATAATTATAGTTTATTCTTTACATGTATATGAAATAATTATGCAAGGTAGACTGAATGTATAATGCACAAATCAGTTTGCGCAATGTATTTGTCCGTGTAAAGGAGCCTTAATGAGCCAGGATTTAAACCGCGGCCTTTTGTTCCTAAATTTGCCGTTTTTGCCTAAACAGAACCGAACAAACAACAAGAAGTGAGTTCGCAAACACTTCCAACTAGTCCACTTTGACAGTTACATGTGATCTCACAGATTCATCACAAGTAGCAAATACAATCAAAACATCAGTCTATTCTTTATTTTTATTTCCAACTATCTTGGCAACATTAATTAAATCACATTAAACCAATAAAAATAATTCTCGTACTACCATTGCCATAGTAAGAATCTGTTCCAATCGTCAATAAAGGGAAACTATCCTCTTCGGTAACAAATCGAAACTTTCGAGGTGAAGCAGAATTTCGTCGGAATCCAATAGCCTGAATGTTTTGGCAGAATCGATTACTAATAGCATAAAAAAAATCGTTTAGACCGGAAGGTCCGAAAGTCACACGTACGTGAATAATAACTTATCCATGAAACCACAATAGGAATCTTCGTGGCTGTCCAATGGCCAGGAAAGATGTACGAGGATTTCGTATTGATTTCGTATTTTACGTTTCCGCTGCTCTAGTAGGGGGGCCATTGTGTGTGATCCCCGGTGCAGCCACCAGTAGCGAAAATAAGATAACTTCTTCTATTCAACCAATGGTGTTGGAGTCGCCCGTGGTACTATCTTCTCTCGCAGATCTTTTCCCCACTCGTTTATTTCCTTGGTTACTTCTTCTAGTCCTCGCCCTCCGAATTTTCTCCAGGCGTAAATACTCAATCCTTACGACGACTTCTATGGAAATGGAGACATTTATTTTTTACTTTCTTAGCTAGGTGAATGTTGGACCCTCATAAGTTCCTTTTAATTTCCACATTTTACACGTTCATATTCATGATACTTTTAATTTGGATTAAATTGGATTTACTGTAATTCTTTGGATAATACTGTAATGTCCTGGAAGATATCGAATCTTGTAAAGTTCACCTTGTTAATATATTCAAATATCATTACTTGAATTACAATATTTACTTTTACGCGTGGTTATGACTACCTTCTGGTAATTAGAAAAATCGATCTAATGTTGATTAATTTCAACCTAATAAAATCTAACTGAATGTACATGGTTATCTTTTCGCGATCTTACGTGAAGATAATGAATAAGAGAGATTTTTGTCTAGTCCAACATAGGATCATCACATTTCACTTCAGCCTGCGTGTAATATGTAAAATGACTGTAATCCAAGAGTATAAATTCGTGTCCTGTTCAGAGCTTCTCACTCATTCTATGAAATTCTTCAGTACAGAAGTAAAGTATAGTATTTTTCAAATAAATTTTCAATAAATCTACCTTTTCATTTTCTGAAGTCAGATTCAGTACTGAAACTATAACATAAAGTCATACTAGACATCGATTATGTAAATGTATTGATATTAAACGTATTAAACATATCATTATTTTTCCTTGATAATTCTTTCATACCAAATACTCGCACTTATCATCAAGTATTAATATTTCTACAAATCCCTCCTGAACGGAACGTCCTGTTCAAATAAAATAAAATATAATTGCTGTCGTGTTAAGTGAAACATGCATGCTCAAAAATGTTTATCAAGAATTGGAAATTATACACACTAATGTCGAAGTAAACTACGAAACGGAATTATCCTCTTCCGGTTACCTCGTGTACGCTTAGTACAATGTGATTCCCTGAAGACGCAGGGGCAATCGCGGTTGCTCGTGCACGTTTTTCAATGGACCTTATCGGAAACGGAATATGAAAACGCAATGCCAAATTGGAGAACTAAGAGGAAACACACAGTCTCCGTGAGCGGGTGGCGTCGCGCCAAATACTCTCGCCGCTTTGATTGCCTCGGTAGGGTTTATTCGACGGAATTTTCTTAAGTGGACGCGCGATCCTTTCCGCAGGAGGACTGTATTAAACGCGAGTTAAAAGATTACGGGCCGCAATTTCGCTGCGTTTAAAGCACTAATGCATCCCGCCCAGGCCAGGCCACCTTTAAAAATTAAAACTTTCCACTCTGGCTCGTTACCCTCCGTTCATATTGTAACGAGGATTTCAACGGAATTGGGTCTTAACGGGGCAGAAAAAACACCCGGGAATCCGTTCCATCCGGCCG